AGCTGATCTAAACCGCTTTTGACCTAAAGGGACACTTTTTGGATGCCAATGGACATTTCTCAGTTTCCAGGCAGAAAGAACAGACAAAATGCAGGCAGGGCACAGGACAAAGCACTCGGGACAAAATGTATGTGAAATTGGTTGAGACAGCAATGTTTTACTATGTAAAATGTAAAAAAAAAAAATGACATTTTTTAAAATTTTTAAATTTCCCACCGGCGGCGGCGCCCGTACGTCCCGACGTCACAGGGACAGGACACAGAAGCCGGATGCTGGCATCGGCCGGAGGAGATGGCCGGGGACGCTGCAGGGGACACATCGTGGGACACAGTGTGGTCAGTTTGAAATAGGAAAGCAGAAGGAGAGAAAGCCGTGGGGACACGAATCTCACTGCAAATATCGGTACTCCCCTATCGGCAAGTACTTGACCGAAAGCATCAATAGTTGTACTCGCCAATCAAAAAAGGGTCTCTGTGCATCCCTATTAGTTTGTTTTTTTACGTTTAGGGCCAATGCACACTATATGCAGTGACAGACGATTTACCACACGGTGAAATGTCTGTCACCTCAGGGACACACAGGTAACTGTTGTCTCCTATGTGTCCCTGTCAAACACAAAGCCTCTGGAGCGGTGGGTAACTCCTGCTGTTCTGTATTGCAGTGTGAATTTGCACTTATAATGGGGTTCCTTGACTGAAAAACGGTTGAGAAACACTGCCTTGTAGCCTTGGATGGCAACAGTGTGAACCCAGCCAACTCAGTGGACATGGTTTACTTTTTAACTTCAGTTCTGCTTTAATTCCTATACTAACTGGAAATCTTGTGTCCTATTTGGGGCTTTCCTGTAGTTCACACAGGTTTCAGCTTGTAAAAGTGAATCTGAAGAGCCCCCCTAAAGCTCAGCTATGCACAGGTGATCTTCAAAACACTGACATCCACCCAATGCACTTCATTGCAAATCTATCATCTTCCAGACTTGCTTGGTGCTGTTCCATGCATGCATCAGTGTGTGCCATAGAGAACAATCAGCAATTTATGAAGTTTGGAAATTCATTATTATGCTGTATGGCAGGGCTTGACAAATCTGCTTTGAATCTAGGGGCCTGTTTTTTAAATCAGCTGCCTGGCACCTGGAACTGCATGTCCGGGGCATTGGGCAATAGGAATTACTCATGCCTGGTGCCAAACAAAAAAAAAATATTTTTTAGGTTCTGTTTAAAATTTTGCAAATAAGTATTTTTTTCTCCTATATGGATGTGCTCTGATCAGGCTGCACTGATGGGCAATGATGAGGAGACACCGACGGGCGGCCCCTGATGAGGGGGGGCACTGATAATGTTCTGTTGTCTAACTCAAACTTGTTTCTCTCTCAGTGGGGGTGGATAAAATGAACTGAGGCGATTGCCAGCTGCCCTACACTACCTGTCCACTCACTTGTCGGAATCTAGTGCCCACAACTGCTGTCCCAGCTGTCAAATGGGAAGGAGATTTCGGAGGTGGGCGTGCAGTGAGAACAAGCAATGGGAAGCCCCCAGTCAGAGTGGCAGGCACACCGCACTCATCACAGCCCCGCCCAGCAGATGAAGGTGCCGGTTCCCACAAACAAGTACTGTTTCCAGCAAGCTGCAATGCCGTAGCCTCAATCACTGGACAGCCTGATTGCTGCACCCACGGGGGACACGCCACATTGGGAGACAGAATCCAGACCAGTGTAGCCCATGCGCCAGGATGCAATTTCCAGTCACCATGGCGACCTGGCGCCTGGGATTTGTCGAGCCCTGCTGTATGGCTGCCCCACATGGGTGAGACTACAGGAGGGGAGAAAACGCTCAGAATTGTAAACATTGTTGTGGAAGCCAAATAATGGTACAAGTTCTGATACACATTGAGGGCCCCTTCCCCACATATGAGCACATTGAGGTGACTGTTCACACATTGGGGTTGATTTACTAAAACTGGAGAGTGCAAAATCTGGTGCAGATCTGCATAGAAACCAATCAGCTTCCAGGTTTTATTGTCAATCTTACCTGAACAATCTGAAGTTAGAAGCAGATTGGTTACCATGCACAGCTGCACCAGATTTTTCAGTTTTTGGTAAATAACTCCATTGTGTTGGCCAGTTTATTTTTTATAGACTTGTTCATACCAGCCCACATGCAAAAATGATTTTGGTGTGAATGGGCAGTGCTTGGTGTTACAATGCAAAACATGGTTTAATTTTTTTATGTCAAAATAATATTTCATTCATTTTTATGCACCACAGCAGAAGTACGGTGTGGTGACCAACGGCTGCTTCAGGCGAGCTCTGGTGTGTTGTGGAAAAATGAAACATGTTTGCGTTTATACACACCACTCTCCAACCACCTTCAATGCAGTGCTGTAGTATGATCTGGACACAGAAAACAATTGTATTGTGTGTGCCCGGTCTTTAAGCCTGCATTGATCTGTGCAGCTCAATTGAACTAGTGTGAACAAGCCCTGAGGACCCACCTAAGGGAAGAAATGTGAATATTTTTAATTTATTTATTTTAAACTCGCTGCAATGCATGCATAATTATATCTACATGTTATGATGTGTTTATAAACCAAAAGGAAAGAGTGTGGTGTCCCGTGTGCTTAGTATGTTAACATGTATAATGCACTTTCATGACAGTAAGGGCTGTTGCCTCACAATAGTCCTAGGCCTAAACAGCCAGTCAAGTTGCCAAGTCAAGATGTGCCATGCTGATAGACTCATACCCAAATAGACTGAGTGCTGGAATAAAATCATCAGGTACTTCAACAAAGTATTAGTTTAAGGGTGTGCACACTTATGCAACCATGTTATTATTATTATTTTTTTTTTTTACTTCCCTCCACCTAAAAGATTTCAATTTGTTGTTTAACTGAGTTGTACAGTTTATAGGTCACATTAAAGGTGGAAAAAGTTCTGAAATGCTTTCTTTGTCCCGTTTTTTTACATCACAGAAATCTGACATTTTTTAACAGGGGTGTGTAGACTTTTTATATCCACTGTATATACATATTACACATTATTAGGCACACAGTTACCCTTTTCAAGCCAGTGTCATTAGTATAAATACCATGTATAGTATTCTCACTAGTCACTTTACTAGTGACACTGGTGATTTCAGTGGCATTTAGGCAGGCTATAGACGGGCCGTTTATCGGCTGAATTTTCGGCCAATAAACGAAAAATCGGTCGGCCCTGTTGCCGATGCTGCCACCAATGTCCACGAAAAAACGGCCACTTTTTCGCGTATTTTTCCAGCATGACCGATAAAACTAAACGAGAAGATCCGCAAAAAACGGCCGACGGGCTGGCCCCACTAACAGTGTGAATATAGGCTGATTTTTCATGCAGGCGAAAATGCGGCCGATAAACGACCTGTTTATGGCCTGCACAAGTGTCAGATTGCCCACTGCACTTTTTCAGCCTCATTATAAGTCACTGATCACTGCCATTAGTGGTATTAAAAAAAAAAAAAAAAAAGAAAATCCAAAATGTATACCATAGTTTTGTAGATGCTATCACTTTCACGCAAACCAATTATTGTACACTTTTCGATATTTGTTTTTTAACCAACGACGTGTAGCAGAATACATTTTGGCCAAAATTTATGAAGAAAACTTTTTTTTATTTTTTTTTTCAATTTGTTATTGGATATGTTTTATAGCAGAAAGCAAATACAGTTGGTTTTTCAGAATTTTTGGTCTATTTTTCGTTTTATATTGCAGAGAATAAAAAAAAAAAACTGGTGATCAATATACACCAAAATAAAGCTCTATTGGTGTGAAAAAAAATTATAAATTTAGTTTATAACATATATAGGACCGCGCAGTTACCAGTTTAAGTAGTGCAGTGCCAAATAGCAAAAAATGGCCTAGTCATAACGGGGTATAATCTTCCAGAGCTGAAGTGGGTAAAGCAGTAAGGGGAAAAGATCAGCTGCCTGAAGACCAGAGGCAATACTAGTGACTAGCCCTTTGTCCTGTGCTTGTCTTTTTGGGGCACAGCTTATTATTATTATTATTATTATACAGGATTTATATAGCGCCAACAGTTTGCTCAGCGCTTTACAATATAACAGGAGACAATACAGCAACAATACAGTTCAATACAAGAGGGATAGGAGGGCCCTGCTCCTTGGAGCTTACAATCTAGGAGCTTATAGAGATCAATTCTCTTTTCCACCAAGTGTATTGGGCAGATTGGCATGTACAGTCCCATTGCAGACAAGACATTTTGCCTTATGTCCTGTTGTTTTAGTTCACACCAATGTGCTGCGGGAGGCAGGTTGCAAATTTTTGGTCTGTGATGTGACACACTCCAATACATCACAATATTAATTGAATTAAATATTTAAATGATAAAATATCAGTTTGACATTTAAATACATTTTAAAGTACATGTTATGGAATGCATAGATGGTATTAATGGGTACTTAGCCTTTATCCGGGTAATTGGATAATATATGGTGTAATTATGATTAAGTATAATAGGGCAGGTATTGGAAGTGAAATAAAACTGATAAAATTGATTGCACGAATTTCTATCTATCTATGGCTGTTCTTGCTTGACAGAAGTGAATCTAACTGATTCTGTTGGAAAACTTTTGTCGATCAGCTGCTGATCAGTGTATTCTCACCATGGAGGAGTCGCAATATACAATATAGTAATACAATAGCACAGTGGGGAGGATTTCCTCCATCCACCTCGACTCGATTTGTGTAAATTGGGAAATTCCTTCCTTTTTTTTTTTATTTATTTATAAGCTCTCTGGCTGATTGCGAAAAAAAGGCATCCATGGCCAGTTTTGCTTTTTAACCACCTTGCGCCCGCCCTATAGTACAATGATAGCGCAAGGTGGTTCTCTCGTTCTGATAGGACATCCTATGACGTCCTACTATTCTCAACTTTGCATACGTGGCTCAGGGAGCGCGCAGCGCGGCGATCTCCGGTCCGCTGTGTCCCTCGGACACTGCGGATCACGGAAAGAGCCGAAGATGTCGGCTCGGTCATGTGATCAGCTGTGTCCAATCACAGCTGATCACATGTAAACACGGAAATGCCGGTTATCGCATTTCTCTCCGAGAGGAGAGCCGGTAATTCGCTTTCTGCAGAGGGGGAATGTACACTGATTTTCAGGGCACTGATGATCAGTGTGCCCTGATGATCACTGTGGCCCCAGAAGTACCATGTGCCAGTGCCCATCAGTGCCAGTGCCACATCAATGCCACATATCAGTGCCCATCTGAGCTGCCTTTCAATGTCGCCAGTCAGTGCCACCTATCAATGCCAATCAGTGCCGCCTGTCAGTGCTGCTTATTAGTGTCATGTATCAGTGCTGCCTTTCAGTGCCCATCACTGCAGCCTCATTAGCGCACATCAGTGAAGGAGAAAAATCACTTATTTACAAAATTGTATAACAAAAACTAAGAAAAAACATTTTTTTTTTTTAAATTTTTCAGTGGTTTTTGGTTTGTTTAAGAAAAAATAAAAATCCCAGAGGTGATTAAATACCACCAAAAGAAAGCTCTATCTGTCTCAAAAAAAATTATAACAATTTCATATGGGTACAATGTTGCATGACCGCGCAATTGTCATTCAAAGTGTGTCAGTGCTGAGAGCTGGAAATTGGCCTGGGCAGGAAGGGTGTATAAGTGCCCTGTAGGCAAGTGGTTAAAGCTGTAATTGGATATGAATTTAATATTCTAGATTAATCTGTTTTTAATAAGTTACCAATGAGGGGACTTGTATAGACTAGTTGTTGAAATGTAGACCTCCAGATAATGTCACTGAAAAAGAAAAGTATTTTTATTCGAGCCTATAGACCATGTATGCCAAGGGTGACCAAACACAAAAGAACCACACCCGATTTGATTAGCATTGTTTCTTTCCAGATCCCATATCTGGCAAGTCTTCACTGTGTGACAGCTGGGCTGTATTCCATACACACAGTCTTTGTTCTATAGCTGCTGATATGAAGATCCTCAGAACAGCAGCTATGTACAAACTTTGTCATGTTGCTTTCCAAGTAAGAGCTTTTCTCAGACAGTCTGTCTCATGGTTCTCCAAGTATTGCATTACTCATCCCGTCATTCCTGCTGTTTGAGGATTTTGTATTATTAGCATCTGGGCGTTGGCATATGGAGGAGAGTAAGGAGTGCTTTGAATGCTGTTTAGTTGTCGGTGAATCTGACTTTTTTGCCGACATCACTTATAACTAAGATCATGTCAGTGGTACTAATTGTCAACAAAATGTCATTACTTGAAGGAATATATATATATATATATATATATATATATATATATATATATATATATATATATATATATATACCATTGGTTAGTATATTCTTACAGTTGAAGCTGAAAGGAATCCTATGTCATATCAACATTTAATTGTTAATTTCTCTTTTTGGCCTACCCTGAAAATGGGCCTTTTAGGTAATATTCAGGCCTAAAATATGCTCTTTAACATGCATGCAAGAATTAAAAAATGTTCCTGGCAGGAAAAGAGTCAAATGCGTGCAGTGTAAATACCTGAATTTGACCTGGTATCAGCTTCTTACAGTCCCTGTACAGCAGTTTTGGAATATGGGAGGAATAAGCAACACAAAGAGCTAAATAGTTTGTGCTAATAAGAACAATATTCATAGGAGCTTTGACTGACTGACAGAGGAGCTCATCCATGTGCTGCTTTTCCTTTCCCTATCCAATCACATACTGGGGTTGGTCTAGGAGCCCTGGGCTCAGAGGAAGTGGGTTTAATGATGCTGGCCATCTGGCTTAGGCTTCATGTACACGAGCAGCTCCTAAACTCAAGTTTTTAGGGGCTTTTGGCATTTTTTGGCCAATGCTCCTAAACTCAACTCCATAAAAGCCTATGTGTCCATGTACACAAAGGCTTTTAGCAGAGTTTAGGAGCTGCCACGTTTTAGGTGAGGTTAAACCTCCCTCTCCTGAATGCGGAAGAATCGCGTTCAGGATAGGAACTGCTATAGATGGAGGGGAAGCGGTTATTACTCCTTTTTTAAATAGTTTGGGCCAAGATGAAACTGGAAGTAACTGAAGAAATGTAAAAATGGGGGGGGGGGGGGGAGTGTAAAATATGTAACTATGATATCCTTTAATCTCTATTTACTAATGCTAACAGCTTGAGTAAAAATAGTCAGTGTTGACTGAGAGCGTGAAGTTCCTTTTTAAATTTACTTAGTCACCTTATACCTGGTAGCAGCTTTATTGCACATTTGTTATCCTCTTGTAGCGTGGAAGCTTGCACTTTCCCTTCCACATATTTCTGTTGGTCAGTAAAGCAACCCTTCGTAGTGATGGGCCAATAGAAATGTGGGGAACAAGAGAAGCACCGACACAACCTGAAATTGTCAGAGTTTTCCCCATTTATAATGGCTTGGGAATAAAAGCCACTCAGGAGAGGGCCGGAGACTGCGGGCATGAGGCAGGAGAGGGCCGGAGACTGCGGGCATGAGGCAGGAGAGGGCCGGAGACTGCGGGCATGAGGCAGGAGAGGGCCGGAGACTGCGGGCATGAGGCAGGAGAGGGCCGGAGACTGCGGGCATGAGGCAGGAGAGGGCCGGAGACTGCGGGCATGAGGCAGGAGAGGGCCGGAGACTGCGGGCATGAGGCAGGAGAGGGCCGGAGACTGCGGGCATGAGGCAGGAGAGGGCCGGAGACTGCGGGCATGAGGCAGGAGAGGGCCGGAGACTGCGGGCATGAGGCAGGAGAGGGCCGGAGACCGCATTATTACATGAGTGCTAGAATCACTGCTTTAACAGAGTAACAGGAAAAAACAGATTAGTGTCTACAGGGGTCCTGAGGGCTGCACAAAAAGTACCAAAGGGCCACAGGTTGGGCACCGGGGTTTTAGACCTAAACAGTGTAATTTTGCTTATTAAAATGAGGGTAACAAAGTTTTTTTTTTTTTTTTGTTTTGTTTTTTTCTTCTAGGCGAGGAATGAGCCAGATGTTTATGAAACAAGTGATTTGCCTGAAGATGACCAGGCTGAGTTTGATGCGGTAAGCTCTACATTTTTTTTTTTTTTTTTTTTTTTTTTTTTTTTTCGATAAATGCTATTTCTATTCTTATGTGCAAACTGCTGGGTTTTATGGCAATGCTACCAAACAATATATGCATGCATGAAAGTAAAATATTATTTGGGTGAGATTTACATAGCTATCCTAACATTTATCCTGACAACGGAAGGTGCTTGTAAAGCTAATACTTCATCTTATAACATGGCAAGATCAAGGTATTAAAAGGTTTAGCAGTCAAGCTGCAAGAAATAAATAAAATTTGGATTGAGATCTCATGTATAAAGATAAAAGTGACATTAAATCCAAAATGAAAATGTCATATACTGCAGCTTTCCAAGACTTGGTGTCTGCATTAGCTTTCTTTTTTGGGGCTTTTTATTTTCACCTGGTGATCTGGTGTTTATCTTCATATAACAGACCAAGCTATTCAGCATTGTGTTAGAGGGTTCAAACAAAACATTTTAACTCTGACAGGGTTGCTTAAAATGTCCGCTTTTATTAATTCATATAAGACCTTTATTCTAAAATTAGAACAAAAACTCTTGCTTTAGCTGCTTAAAAAGGTATTAGCTGGAGTTTGGTTTAATTTGTTAGTAAGTCCATCTAAATCAGCTAGTGTGTCGAACATTACCATGCCAAACAAAAATAGTTTTGTTTACTGAAGCAGAGCATCATGCAAAGTGCTGACGCCTTAAAGTATATGTGAACCCTCACCTTGCAAATAATCCATTCAGCAAAAGGAGGTCAGGGAGGATAATAAGCAGCATGCTGATCTTCCCAGTGAATGGCTGTGCAGGGGGGAACGTGTCAACAGAAGTCTGATCATTGGAGGAGAGCAGGGTGAGTTCTCAGCACAGGAAACTGACCATGGTGTGCTCCCCTGCTTAGTGTGGTCAGTTTTTATTAGGGAAACAGAGGGACTGGCAGGAGCACCAGGGTTTTCACCCAAAGGAAGCAATACAAAGAGAAACAGGAAACTTTTTCATACAAGTACAGTACAGCAGACGCATATCAAGAATATGAAACAATTTTATTTTTTTTTTAAGCTGGGTACACAGGGATCGAATTGCAATCTGTGTAGCCCTTCTGGTTTGACAGAAGCCGATTGGTCCTGCTGGAAAATCTTTTGATCAGCGACTTGCAGCCAATCTGCTGCAGCACATATCAGTGTAGTCTGACACCAAAGTTTTCTTGCTGTCAGAATACAATAGCACAGCTGAACAAAAAAAAAATAGTTTACACCCAGCTTTAGCATGCAATGACAATCTGCCTTGTATAGTATGGCTTCAGAAAAGTGAATTCTGATTAAATGCTACGTGTTCAATGCATGAAGTTCTGCCTGTCCTAATCTGTCAATACATGGACATTCCACAGCTTTTATCATTTAAGATCCTTGGTGTCCTTGAGATAATGGGAAGTGAGTGCTGGACTCAGGATAGTTCTGAATTTCTGCCATGATCAACAAGTGTGTGTTGTTTTTTTTTTTGTTTTGTTTTTTGTTTTTTTTTTGTTTTTTTCACTTCTCAAACATAACACTTTTAATGTTATGTTTAGCAGACCAAAAGGGAGCAAATAATAAAATAATAGTTTGTTGTTCGGGTTTACACACACTTAATTTGTACGATTCAGCCATTCTCTGCATTGGGGAATTGTTGATCCTTGCATGAGTGGGTTACAGGATGCATGATGCCCTTTCCTAGGGAATCATTTCAATCAAAATTCTATTACAGACTTTCTGTAAGCTGCCATCATTTTTTGACACATTTTAGAAACCGTAAAACTTTTAATATGTCAGCTGTGCTGTTGGTCACCATGATGTGGGCACAGATGCTTTTTTAATTTTTAAGCACGTCGGGAACTGCAGCTACCATGGAATGCAAAGAACATTAAAGGATAAGTTTTATGTTTTGGAACTTGTTACATGTACCACCAATTTTTAGGGTGGAACAGGTAACAGCAGCTGCAGCCTCTTCCCACAAACCCCCCCCCCCCCTCCCCTTTTCTGTGACAGCGAGCTGGGATTATCTCCCCACGCCGGCTCTCACAAATTAAAAACAATGCGGCCGTACGGGGCTATACCCACACAGCCATGTTATTTATTCAGTTTCCTGCAAATTAATGCCTACAAATACCATCTGCCTTTGTGGCTGATGGTTTTTAATTTCGCAATAGACTGCAAGGGTGCTGGTGTGCTGTTGTCCATTCTTCCTGGACTTCAGTAACTGCCGACCCGTATTGAAGGTATAGGCAGGCAGTATACTGACAGTCTGCAAGAGCCTGACATGGCA